TTTTTTTTTTTTTTTTTTTAAAGAAAATATTAAATTACCATTTTAAATATAAAAATTCAATCTTGTGTAGAGTATTGTTGGGAGAAGAGCCTCACATCGATTATCATACCATCAGTGCATCAGTGCTTATGTACTTACAGCTAAAGACCAAGAGTTCAACTTTATCTTAACCTAACACATCTATATGTGCAATTAATCAAATCTTTACTAAGTCAACTATGGCGTATGTGTGCATCAATCTTGATAATCCATACGTCATTATGGTAAGTTGACAATTCCTAGTAGAGCCACGTCTATTCCAATATAACACCTCAGGAAAATAATACATAAAGAGGAGTGATCTCAAGTCTAAACTAACTATGATACCTATGTGTGTCAATCACGAGAGACAATGTGCCATTAAAGGTTAGTTAATAGCCTCCTAGTGGGACTAAGCACTCCCCAACACAATGCCTCGTGTAAAGATTCGTAACTTGCATCTCCATACTTGGACATAAAACGTAACATTATACATGACTTACACACAATAAGTTGTACGTACATAGAAAACATTTAACACTAGAAACCACATGAGTTAGTGACAAGCATACTAACATAAAGGTACTCGTAACGTTTGTAACAACCATATTGAAATTTGTCCACCTGGGTTACTTAATAACTTGTTGTTTCTCGTTCGTGAGGGAGTTTAGTCAAGTCATGCCTCTTTGCAATCCTTAGACATAAATTTCCATATAAATTTTAATTTATGTCCAAGTAGAATTAGGATTTAATTGACAAATAATTCGAAATCAAATAGCTTTATCAAATAAACAGAAGACAGTAGACAGAGACAGGAGACATCAAATCAAGCTTTTATCTACCTATATTAAACAAATCAAATCAACAATGTTCTGAATCTGTTCTTATCCATTAGCCTAAACTACGTAGGCTTCAGAACTCACATCCAGTTTCAAGTCAAACACACGGATTATCACTATTATTATAAATTAGTTTGATGTGAAATTAGGTTTGTCTTTAGCGTTGTTCTTTAGTATTCTGAAACCAAAGATCCCCCACGGATCTCTATTGAAATGGTTTATTATTAGCATTGCATGAAACATAATGAATGGTTGTTGTGAAGAACAAAACAAGATTGGACACTGTTTTCAATATGCTGATGTTCTTTCTTCATTCTTGAATTTCAAGTGAGGAGAAAACAAGAAATGGAAATTATACACAAGGGGAAGAAAGAGTTTGATTAAATAAGCAATGGAAGTTCTTAAGAACAAAAGGAGAACGAAGGGATTAGAGTTTTCATGTTCATATCAGGATCCCCAGTCGGAAAACAGAGCCTCCCAAATCTCTGTGAAAACCTCAAGAATGACATTATGGTGATGGTGGGAGTTCAAGGAGAGAAAACACTGCAACAGCTGCTCAAGATCCTTCCCAGAAAAAATCTGTTTCTCAACAATCATTTCCAACATCGAGCATCTAAAATCGTTATATGGGTCGCTCGATTTCTTCACCACTGCAAAGCTATCTTTCACTTTCTCCGTCAATGGTAACACCCCCATTTCAGAGCTTCCGTTACGACCTCCTCTTCTCCGGCGAGACTTATACCGTCGGTGGGACGTTGAGGAATCAGAAGAGCGCGATTTCGAAGAAAAAATGGTGTCCGTTTCGTCGTCTTCGTCCTCGTCCTCGCAACTGTACCACCACGTACCGCCGAAGTTTGACTCCAGAGATAACGAACTGAACTGGCAAAACGGACTCTCCTTCTTCCTCTGTTTCCTCTGTTTACTCTGCTTCTTCTTTTTCTTCTTATTCGTCGTCGAAATTTTCTCACGGGTCACATTCTCCGGGAAGGGCGAAATCGGGGACGCCAGAGGGCAGGTCCGGCCGCCAGGAACTGCAGATGGGAAAGGAGCAAAAGAGAACCGGCGGGAAATTTTGCGTTGGGGGAGAAGCAAATGGCGAGAGGAAGCAACGGTTTGGGCAGGTTCCGACGGAACGAAGACAGGTTTGTGAATGATATCGGAGAGATAACGGGAACGGCAAGAGACGAAAGGGGATTGGAACATGCGAGAGAGGCGGAGCTTGAAGCGTGTCTCCATTGGAGAGAGAAGAAGAAGAAAGAGGAAAATTGCAGAGTGTGAAGAAGAAGTGAGAAATGCACGAGAAACCAAAAGTGGGAATGCTTATTATTTAAGCCAACTCCACCTGTGACTCAATTTAAAAACTTTCTCAAAATTTCGAGATACAAAAGGATTTAATATAAAAATATGAAACTATTTCTGTCTTTTCAACGTTGAATTGAATCTTAGTCTAAAGCTAAAAATGTATGCTCTAAAGTTTATGTTAAATGTAGTGCAAAGAAGGATTAAAATAATTTTCAAATTAAAAATAGTGCCATTTTGAGGTACCCAAAAAAGAAAACTTTTAGAAGGATAGAAACAGGAAGATTGAGACAAGGAACACCAACACAACAAACATGGAAACCTCAGATTTGTTTCAAGTTTTCAGAATGGAAAGTGTAAAAACACACAGTTTTTGAACTCATTTTCTCATTTCTTACAACTTTTGTCCCTTATCATTGTCTCCTTGTTTTGTTGAAATCAAGACTAGAGACTTCTCGCTTAATTTTGGTTGACCCCAAAAACAGGACATCGAAAACCATGCATGTTTTAATCATTTTCTAAAGGTTCCAAGAAAATGCATACAAAATAGCTTAACATTTATAGATCATAAGCTTTCATACCAAACACATACAATACAAAATTCTGATGGGAGAATCCTGATGTAAGTTTATGGCATAATAATGGAGAAAATCCACAAAAAATCTCAAGTTTTAAGCTCAGCAAGTACAATAAAAGAGTGTGAGAAAGGTTGTAATGAAGAAAGGTTTATGGCATAATAATGGAGAAGCTGAAAATGATGGAAGCGGTCGTAAGGCAATTGGAAGGTCCAATGCACATAGGGAATGGTAAAGGAAAGGGTTTAGAGAGAGAAGTATCTAAAAATGAAAGAAGGTTCCAAGGAGATAAAACACACGAACCGCTGCATAGTTTAGCCTATTTTTGTTTCAAGTTTTGGATCATTGGTAGTTTTGACTATTGAGTTGATCAATCATGCGCCCAATATTTCAAATTCCATTTTGGATTTGAATTTCCCCCATCTCCCTCGCTACTTTCTCAATATATATATATATAGATAGACATGTCTCTTTCTTTCATGTCTCATTTGGTATATTCAAATGATTAGAGAGGGGCGGGCACGGGAATATGAAGTGTGCAAGTAGAAAACAAGGGAATGGAACAAGATTTGTGTAGTGAATTACGAGGTTGCCCCTGAAACAACGGTTGACTGGGGCATAGGGAGTGGGTAAAATGGGAAATTGGGATGGAAACCGAGACAAGTAGAAGTAGAAGAGGTTATATTATCACATGAAGTTTATGGAAAAGCAGAGGGTTGACTAGTAATACTGAATGACTAATCATTTTTTGTTTTGTTTTTTTTTATTATTTTAACACTGCCAGCCACCCGTGAGTAAATCATGGACTTGGCTTCTCACCTACTATTATGCAGGTGGGCTTCATTTTCACTTCTAACCTAGGAGAGAAAGAAGTAAAAGAAAAGCGTACCCTTATTCCTGATACCACCAAGAACATCCCTCCATATGTAATCTCTTCTGAGATCTCATCCACATCAATCTGTTCACTGAAACAGAGATGAAAAATTTAGGTGAATAGAAAGAACAAGTTAGTGTAGCCCAATAAAATGGAGCAAATCAAGGTGTACTTGTCAATCCCTTCCATTGCATTTTCAGCAGTAAAATCCAATATGGATTATGTATTATATAGAACATGCAAGGAAACCATTTCAACGTTCTTCACTGTTCTACTTTCTGAGTGCCACGTGAAACAATGGCCACAGTTGAATTATATGTACAACGGCAAGGATACAACTTCTATTTTGATGAGAATCCATTACCGTTTTCACATCAGCTGTACATTATCAATATACTGATAGACATCTAAAGCGACTTCAGAGATCCAATTTGCTGCTGTGCCGAAGAAGAGTTCCCAAAACCAGAGATCCACTGCTAGGACTGAGGAGAAGATTAGCAATGCCAAGGTCTGGTAACGGTTCAATGGCCAACCTGAGACATCAGCCAGAGACTTGAGAAATGGGAGAGAACTGCTGGATACTTTTCGCTTTGCAATAGACCATGCTGTTATCCACTTTACACGACTAGGAATGAGGTCGAAATCCTCTCGCAATCGCCTCCCCAAGTCGGGCATGTGACCGCCACCGTATAGTATGGCAATTTTGTTGTGGCCCTTGTCCATGGCATCTCTAAGTGCTTCTGTTGCTGCTTTGTTCCTCTCGCCGATTATAACAGAACTCTCCTCCACCTCGGCAGTTACTTGTGTAAACCTTCACAAACAATGGATTATATCAGATCCAAAAACAGCCGAACTAAGACTCGCCCAAACAAGCAATAACTAATTTAGATTCAAAATAACCTCCAGATTCCACATTCAGAAATGGAAATGAAGTTTTGGAATGAATAATTACTGATACCAAACTAATAAGGGAACAGACGTCGTATAGAACTCCAAACATACTTACTCAGATGTTAAACGCTTAGCTAGAAAAACCTTCATTGCAGCACCCAAATCGAGACTTGACAATGCTTCAAATTCTGGAAATTCTGATGCTTGACTTCCTCCATCTGCACAAACGCTTCCAATGATAAGCATTCCAACAAGTGGCATAGGAAGCACACGAGACGCCCGAAGAAGCTTTGATTTCCAAGGTTCAAGATCTTTGGATCCTGCAGTAGGCTGAACCAAAGCTTTGGTGGATCGTATAGTCATGTCTCTAGCAAATGTAAAGAAGCTTTCACCTTTTTCAGTCTGCAACATGACAGCATCAAATTCAGTGTCAAAATATCATTATATAAGACCAAGCTTTAGGTGTCAAAAACAACTGCGAATGATGTTAATTTCTAAAAGATGAGGAATTAGGCCACCTTAGAGTTGAAAAAGGAACACGCTCTAAAGTTGAATGGTCATAGATCACTCTAGAAGGCATAAGTTTAAAGAAACAATTTCAACAGAAAAGAAACTAATGGGTTCTTTTAAGTGGTCAACAATAAATTCTTATCAGATGCTATGATTCAACTTCTGCACATTGTAGCATCCATTGCAACCTTGAGGATGTTTATGTCTAGACATTTTTTGATCCGTCTATTGTGTAAGAAGGTAGAGAGGGAATAACCTGAAGTATGGTGAAGGTTTCATAGTCTAGATCTGCATGGTACCAATTCGAAGCCTGGTAATCAAGACAATCTAATTGAAAATCAAGTGTAAGAACACGAGCCATCTGCCGTTGAATACAGCCCAGAAGATTAAATCCTCGTGATCGTGAACTCTGTAGCTTTTTCATGGCAGTTGGATTTCTTCTGTTTTCTAAGCTCTCCCTACTAGCCACCATCTCATACAGTATACAATCGTAGGACTCGAGTTCTTTCTGGAGGGCCTCAAAATAGCTATGCAAAATGGATGGCAACATATTTAGTCAATCAAAAAGCCTGGTTGAAGTGAGGCAACAAATAAGCAAAATTAGAGTTAGCAATACTTTAAAAGGTAGTGATTCTCGAAACCTTTATCACGAAATAAAAGTATTGCTTCGATAGGGGAAAGTACCTTCTAGAAAAGAACAAAAATTAGGACAAAATCACCATTAAAATGCTAGAAAATCCTCTTCATTGATTCAAAAGGAGAAAGTAACTGCTATTTTCCCATGCTAATTTATCTTATCCCTTTATTTTTCATTGCACATATATAACAATTTCTACTAAATTGCAGTTCTTTTCCTTTTTTCCTAACGCAACAGTTTCTTAGTTTGTTGTTGATCCATTGTTGCGACCTAAACATATGCTAGGTCACAATTTCCTCTAGGTATCAAAATAAATCGCGTTCATGACAACACTAATGACTAATGAGTAAGGCACTACCCTTCAATGTAAAATCAAATTGCATAATCATATCTCCTACTCACAAAGTTACAGAACAATTTACAGGCAGACAAAGAAGAAAATACAAAAGACGATCAAATTGACAAAACGAGAGAATACAGCGAGTACACATACTCTTTGTCTGCAATATGAATTGTTGACACCAAATCAACCTGAAAAAGAGTAGAAGCCACAAATTAAAAGAAACCCCATGTAAGAAATACAAATACCTAAACGAAACAATTAGAATTCGAGCCTAAACCTGAAGAAATGGCTGCAGAATAGACCATGGAAACTTCTTTCTGTAACTAACAACAGCAGTCTGAAGCTCAGTACAGCTTCCATCCCGTTTGAACCTCATGAAATCCGCAATTGAATTATTCTGCAAAAACAGCTCGGCCGTGCCATCGTCGCGTAATTGATTGGAAGGTGAAGAAGCACCAAGAATTTGGCACCGAAATAACCTAAAACGTTTTGGGAATCTAAAGCTTCGCTTGGAAGATTGGGAGAAGGACCCAAAATTGGTGGAGATGGAAGAAGATGGCGAATCAGTTTTGGAAATGGAAGGAAATGAGGTGGGCGAGAGAAGTAAGAGCGAGGTAGAGACCATATCCTCTCTCGACAGAGTAACCAAAGCGCGCGAGAGAAAAGAGAGAGTGGCAATACAGAGTCCCAAATCTGATAATATCAACCATTCGACAAATGAAATCAATAAATTACTCTCCTCACGACCATTTTTTTCTTTTTTTTATAAATAAAACTTATTTAACAAATAAAAACTTAAAATATATTTTTGGTGATTTTAATTTTAAAAAATCAACACTTTCAAATTTTTATTTTTTATCCTTAATGTTTCCAAAATAATATAAGATCTTCAAGTTTGAATATATATTCCAACTTATATTATCACAGTTTAATAATTTTTGGGTTAATTTTCATGTTATTCGACTCTTCTAATTTAAACTTCGGAAAAACTAAATTTAAAATTCAATAGCTTAAAATGTATTTTATCATGAAAATAATAATAATAAAAGATTATATTTTAACAACTATATTTTAAAATTATAATCTTAAATTTTGTCATTCGCTTAATAAATATATTTATTCTTTCAAAAATTATAATAATTAATATAAGTTAGAAGAAATATTGGTACGGTGGTGATATGGAGAGTGGCGTTGCCATAAAACAACGTGGCGATGACTCTCGTCTAATCTAAAAGAATGACATTTTAACACTTTTTCTCTTAAATTCATGTATTTTTAGCATAATAACAACAACAATAATTTTTACACGTTTCTTTTTCTGCAATAATTCATGTTTGATTTTTTTTTATTATTTGGGACAAAAATTTCAGGACTTTTGAGAAGCACGGGCCCTCACAAATTAAGCCAACTTCTGGCTTGCACGCAAGGGTGAACACAAGATTTCAAAGATTTGCTTGTAACGTAATATTAGGAGATTTTATCCATACTATTTGCATTTAGGGTAAGTTAGTCTTATAAACATAAATTTAAAAATTGTATTTAATATATCTATAAACTTTTAATTTTATATTTAATTGAATAATAAATTTTATATAATATGGGTTAAATTTTGGAAGTTTTAAGAATTCCAATTCTAATTTAATTTATTTAATCATTGTAACTCACATGTGTTACGTCTCTTGATTTGGGATGTGATATTATATTTTATTATAAAAAATCATCGGCCACTACTTAGAGACAAGATCCAGAAGCATGATACGTAGAAGGCTCCATCACCCTTCCTCAGCGACTAATCTCCATCTAGCTGGAATTGCCGACCATGGGGAATGGATGCTCACATAGACCCACCACGCCACGTGTCATATTTGTCGTACAAGGATTAGGTTGCTTATCGTGTGGTCATCACAGTCCTTTCTTCTCCGATCACCTAGAACGTTACCGCCCGCTTCTTATTTTGTTTCTTCTATATAATTTTTCCAAAAAAATCTCGATACAACATTACCCTTTTCCCAGAAAAATCGGAGCCTCCTGTTTCATGAATTTGCACTTTTTCTTCAGCTCCATCTTCCATTAATGACTACACTCACGAAGCTTTACGTGTGCCCACAAAGCTTCGATGGCCCAAGTACTAGAGATGGGCACTTGATCGGAGCTCTTGGACGGGGAGTCCACCGGTTTGGCGTTGGAGTGTCGACGAGCCGTAGTGGATTAAGCTTGAGGAAGTGTAGATCCTTCAGAGGCGAGGATGGTGGGGATTATGAGAAGGAGGATCGTAAAGGGAGGAGTGGTGGAGATTCGAGGTTAAAAAAGGTGTCAACGAAGAAGGAAACTCAGTTTTGGAAATTTTTGAGGTCTGGTGTTTTGGGTAAGGTTAACTTGCTTTTGGGGTCGGATTTTGAACGGGGGAAGCTTATGGCTAATATGGAGGCTTTGTTTTCTTCGGTGAGTATTGCTGTATGCTGCTCATCTTATCTCATCTTCTTGAAAATTTTCTGAATTTGATGTATGCTCCGTTCATGAGGGATATTGAGTTATTTAGAACGAATTTGAGGTGCTTTTTTTGCCATACCCTGATGTCTGTTTCTTTACCATCAGTTGGCTTGTTTGGCAAATGTGCCTGTAGTTGTAGCTTTTATAACACTTGATGTTTCATCATCAGCTGAAAATTTTCGCTTATTTGAGTTATTTGTCGTACATAATTGGGATTTTAATGATACAAATAAACGAGGAGGAATCTATTATTTTGTTTTATGATGGTTTTGATGTATACTCATGGGTCCACGTGAGATCCCATGTCGGTTGGATAGATGACGTCGGGTGGGAGGAGGGTGAATTGTGAGATCCCACATCAGTTGGAGGGGGTGAATTGTGAGATCCCACGTCTGTGGGAGGGGGTGAATTGTGAGATCTCACATCGGTTGAAGAGAGGACGACGTTGGGCTCTGAAGAGGGGTGGATTGTAAGATCCCACATCGGTGAACGAATCATTCTTTATAAGGGTGTGGAAACCTCTCCCTAGCTAACGCGTTTTAAAACCCTTGAACAGAAGCCCGAAATGGAAAGCCTAAAGAAAACAATATTTGCTAGCGGACAAGAGTGCTTTGATCTTAATTTGGAGACTGCAGTAGAGCATCGCTAACTGTAGCTCCTTTATTTTCTTAACAGGCTGCAGTCCAAATTGGAAGATATATCGTTACAATGATGAGCACTGGTGTTGTACTTGCTGTTGGGTTTCAATTATCAGGTAACCCACATTTGTTTAATTGTAAAACGTCTCATAAAAATCATCAATGTTAATATGAATTCTGTTTCTTGAAAATTTTGAAGGTGGTGACAGTCAGATGAACACACTGATTTGGTATAGTTGGCTCGGAGGGGTTATTATTGGAACCATGATTGGTGCTAACATGGTATTAGAGGAGCACTGCAGAGCTGGTCCACGCAACGTTGTTATAACTGGAAGGTAAGTAAACACTCCTCGCAAAGAATGTAGTTCAATGGCTCAGAAATGATTCAAGACCAGCTGGTCTTTGTGTTTAATGCTGTACATGGTGGTTGGATCAATTACTTCGTCTAGTTTTTATTGTTTACTTGTATGATCTTCTTCTATTTGTACATGACGGCACATGGATGGTTGACTATGCAGCACGAGAGGATTGGGGAAAGCACTAGCCAGAGAGTTTCTTCTCTCAGGAGACCACGTAGTTGTGGCTTCTCGCAGGTGGTCTTCAGAACTTCTGTTACTTGTATCTCAATGTGTTTACAACTTGCTTACATCCCATTTCCTTGTACAATGATTTTTGTAAGACAGCCCTGAGTCTGTTCAAGAGACTATTAGAGAGCTGGAGGAGAACTTAAAAGGTCTAATGGTCAGAAGTGGTTCTTCCAATACAAGCCTGACACATGCTAAAGTTGTTGGCACAACATGCAATGTTTGCGACCCTGAAGATGTTCATAATTTGGCGAAGTTTGCTTTAAATGAACTTGGTTCCATTGACATTTGGGTGAGTCATGAGCTTACAGATTGGATTTTTCAGATACTATGTTGCTTTAAATGAACTTGGTTTCTGGCTTCGTCATGTCAGATACTACGCTAATTTTCTTGAAATTTCGTACAATGATGTTTTGATTTTATGTGAGATCCCACGTCCGTTGAAGAGTGGAATGAAGCACTCCTCGTAAGGGTGTGGAAACCTCTCCTTAGTAGACGCGTTTTAAAACCGTGTGGCTGACGGCGATATGTAACGGGCTAAAGCGGACAATATTTGCTAGGGCTTAGGTTATCTTTGAAGCTTTTCAATGTTGAGAAAAAATAGATGTTGAATTTTTTTAGTGTGACAAATTATGGACAGATAAACAACGCGGGCACGAACAAAGGCTTTAGACCCTTGCTGCAGTTCACAGATGAAGATATTACTCAGGTAAAGTTATATTGGTAATTCTGGATTTTCATTCCTCTACTTCTCTCGAGTCTTGATGAATCTGAACATAATCTTCTCCAATAGATATCAGCTCTATACTGAAACTAGGCTCTCGCCTTGTGTATGAATGGAACGGTTTACATTCACACTCAACTGAAGTCCTGTCCTTTTTTATTTATAGACGGTTTATGATGCCTATGAAAATTTGATGTCTTGACTTATAAGTTGATTTAAGTTCATACACTGGTTATTTTGTAGATTCTCTCAACAAACCTTGTCGGTTCCCTTCTTTGTACTCGAGAAGCCATGCGTGTAATGAGAAGTCAGGCTAAAGGAGGACACATTTTTAACATGGATGGTGCCGGCTCTGGAGGTTCAAGTACTCCTTTGACGGCTGTGTAAGTTCATTGCATACTCATCAAACCAGTCGTGTTCTTGTGTCTATGAAATCATTGGTCGTTTTTGGTGTTTATGCCATTTAGTTTACTGCACGTCGTGTAGGTATGGATCGACAAAATGTGGTCTTAGACAGCTTCAATCATCTCTTTTGAAAGAATGCAAGCGGTCCAATGTAGGAGTACATACTGCATCACCTGGCATGGTTTTGACAGATCTCCTTCTTAGGTGAATCAAGTTTCTTCTTATATGCATAGATAAATTACATCAACGTTTTCAATCTTGCCCTCTTCCAATAAATTTCTGAGCTTGTGTAATACTTGGTTCATATACATTTTTCTGCCTTGCATACAGTGGTTCAACTGTGAGAAACAAACAGATGTTCAATATCATTTGCGAGCTTCCTGAAACGGTGGCTAGAACATTAGTTCCTCGAATGCGGGTTGTAAAAGGAACAGGGAAAGCCATCAACTACTTGACTCCTCCAAGAATCTTATTAGCTCTGGTCACGGCTTGGCTGCGACGAGGTCGGTGGTTTGACGATAAGGGGAAGGCTCTTTATGCAGCAGAGGCAGACAGAATCCGAAACTGGGCCGAAAATCGCACTCGTTTCTCCTTCACTGATGCAATGGAGATGTACACAGAGAACACCTGGGTGTCTGTGTTCTCCCTTTCGGTGGTTTGTGCCTTCATAATTCTCTCTACCACAAGCACCACTCTTCCCGGAACTTGATTATCTCCTCAATTACATTATACTAAGAAAAACCAACCCTCCCATCCAATAGCAAATGTATTGACTGCCTAACCGCAAAGCTCTGAAGATGGCCTCACGAAGCCTATTTATTTGTGTGGTTGAATGGACTGATCTGTATTGAAATGTAGTGTGTAAAAAGTTTACAAGAATTTGAGTAAAGTTTGTGGCTTTTCTAACAGCCCTCAGCTTTCAGTTTTCACTCTGTGTGCGCTGCTGGACTGTGTCAAGTCAAATGTTTTGCTCTGTTTTACTCTGTTTTTCTCTGTTCTGTTTTGCCATCTACATTTACCCCGCAGTTGCTTAGGTTTCGAAATTGAAATGGACGACAAATTTGAATTCTCATTGTCAGGAATAAGATGATGAGTGGGATGAACCGTCCACGTGGAACGAAATCAATGGATGAAAATGAGATGATTCCGTTTTTATACCATATTTCTGAACTAATTCTCAATAATATCTATTTTTACCAAATCTGATCTGGCGTTGGCCACCTGCCAGCCTCCAAGCCATCCCTTTGGACCCAAGCCCATCCCGGGAATGTCGTCCACGTGTACAGATGTCGAATAGGGAGCAAATTCCAAATTTCGCCTTCCGACATGTCGAGGTGGTTGAACGATGTTTAATACAATTTCCTGTATTACTAATAAAATTTATCTCTATCACAGACACTTCACATGCATTGTGTATAATTAATGCACGAATTTATATGGTTCAGAAATTATTAGTTAATATTTCCAAAATTGAGGGTAGTTTAGTCATTTCATATAATACAATTGTTCGATGAAAAAAAAAAGGAAAAGAAAAAAGTGTAGGGTTTATGCAGGCACATGCATATTTAATTACATAAAATAATATTAAATTATCCTTGATCACCTTTCCAATTTTAATTATGATCAAGAGAATAAAATTAAAAAAAAAAAAAAAAAAAAACAGTTGTATTGATGGTGATTTTAATTTGCCACTATTTCTCAAGATTTTCAAAATTAAAATCCGAACTTATAAAAATTAGAGGAAAAGTATTAAAAAAGTTAAGATTCCGAGAATTGACTGAGGTATTAAAAAGTCAATGGTTGACAGCTGGACAGAACCCAAATTCGACCAATTACGACATCCCAGTTGCGGACTGCAGTTCCGTTGGAAAATAAATAAGGAATTAATAATCCAATGAGAAAGGAAAGGAGAATTGAGCGGAGAAACTGGCGGCCTTATTATTATTATTTTTTATATTTTTGTGTTGACGTCGACAGCTCACACATTGCAGATTATGTGCAAAGCAATTATACATCATCTATTGGTAATTTGTTTGGTATACTGCAAATTCCGCCATTGTTATCTTCTTCTTCTTCCAGTTGCAGAGCAGGGATTTTTAATCTTCTTGAAAAGAGTGTTTTTCCTTACATAACCCAGACCCATTTCATTGTTTTCGATTTCTGCTTCTCTCTGGACTGAAATTTTGGGCGAAAATGTCGTCTCCTGCTCCCATCTCGCCGCCGGGGACTAACTCGACCTCACCCCCACCACCGACCACGGATGCACCACCTCCAGCATCTCCATCTCTCTCACCGCCTCCGCCTGCTTCATCGCCGCCGCCTCCGAACAGTACCACTCCATCTCCGCCTACTTCTTCTCCTTCCCCGCCGGACGTGCCTTCGAGCTCTCCCCCGCCGCCGCCTACCGACTCGACGGCTCCACCGCAACTTCCGAGTCCGACGCCGCCATCCAATTCTAGTACACCTGTGAATCCCGGAGGAAATCAGGCTCCGCCGTCGGAAACGGCGCCATCTCCCTCATCATCGTCGGGAGTTTCGGCGGGACTTGTGTCTGGGGTTGTCGTTGGAGTGTTAGTGGTGGTTGTAGCGTTGATTGCTATGTGGTTTTATTTAAGAAAGAAGAGGAGACGCGACGAGGAGGCGTACTACCGGCCACCGCATCCGCCTGCGCCACCGGCGGCGTTTAAAGGTGAGAACCCTCAACCCACACAAATTTCTCAACTAATCCCTAAATTAATTGTCGAATTTGACATCAAGTTTTATGAAACAAATGAATTTCAGACGGCCAATACGGTCCCCAACAGCACCATTGGCAATCACATCCGCCGCCGCCAGGGGATCATATCGCGGGGACAGTACCAAAGCCGTCTCCTCCGCCAGCATCACGGCCACCGCCGTCACCCCCGATTATAAACAGTAGCGGAGGGTCTGGATCTAATTATTCAGGGTCTGAAAATTCGTTGGCTCCAGCTCCATCTTCTGTTCCCTTGGGGTTCTCACAGAGCAGTTTCACTTACGAAGAATTAGCAATGGCGACAGATGGGTTTTCAGAAGCCAATCTCCTCGGACAAGGTGGGTTTGGTTATGTGCATAAAGGAGTTCTTCCTAACGGAAAGGAAGTGGCAGTGAAACAACTTAAAGCTGGAAGCGGACAAGGAGAGCGTGAATTCCAAGCAGAAGTTGAAATTATCAGCCGAGTTCATCATAGGCATCTTGTTTCTTTGGTCGGATATTGCATCACTGGCTCCCAAAGATTGCTGGTTTATGAATTCGTTCCCAACAACACATTGGAGTTTCACTTGCACGGTCTGTAATAAACCTCAATCCAATCCACCCTCTTGCTATCACTTCATGATCTTGACGCTCTTAACTTTCAGGGAAAGGACGACCTACCATGGATTGGCCAACCAGGCTCAAAATCGCTTTGGGATCTGCCAAGGGATTGGCCTACCTTCATGAGGACTGTAAGTATATATAGTGTTCGTGACCAGATCTCTTCTGGGTTTCTTCAATTTACACGTATTCAGCCTTATCATTTACTTCTGATGCAATGCTCAGGCAATCCTAAGATCATTCATCGTGACATCAAAGCAGCAAACATACTTTTAGATCTCAAATTCGAAGCAAAGGTAATAATGGGAGCTTTCTAATTCTTGAGTTTGAATCTATGAAGAGACTCAAATGGGGTTGTTCCTGATATTTTTTTCCAGGTTGCAGATTTTGGGCTTGCCAAGTTGTCTTCTGATGTTAATACCCATGTTTCAACTCGAGTCATGGGCACTTTCGGGTATGTTAATACCCTTTGGAACCATTTCTTGACAAATTCATATTTCTGAACTCATGAATTTGATATCATGCTATGCCAGATATCTTGCTCCTGAATACGCTTCAAGTGGGAAACTAACTGAGAAATCAGACGTGTTCTCCTATGGAGTAATGCTTCTGGAGTTGATTACTGGACGCAGACCTGTTGATCCAACTCAATCATTCATGGACGATGGATTGCTCGATTGGGTAAGCCCATTAGCGAATTCTGTTCAAATTCAGCATCTCTGCAAACCCAATTCAGACGTTGAAAAACTAAATCAACCCATCTTGTCAATTTCAGGCAAGGCCATTACTACTTCGGGCAACAGAAAATGGAAACTACGACGGTTTGGTAGATCCAAAGCTGCGAGATAACCACGACCACAACGAGATGGCGCGCATGGTTGCTTGCGCTGCGGCCTGTGTGCGTCATTCGGCGAGGCGTCGACCACGGATGAGTCAAGTGGTTCATGCTCTTGAAGGAGAAGCCTCGCTTTCTGATCTGAACGAAGGAATCCGACCTGGACATAGCACTGTGTACAGTTCTTATGGAAGCTCCGACTACGACACGGCTCAGTACAACGAGGATCTGAAGAAGTTCAGGAAGATGGCGTTGGCGAGCCAGGAGTATGGCAGCGAGTATAGCGAGCCGACGAGTGAGTATGGGCTGTACCCATCTGGGTCGAGTGGCGATGGGCAAACAACGAGGGAAATGGAGACGAGAACGATGAAGAAAGAAAGTGGAGGATTGATTTAGTGGAAGCTCGTGATGATGGTGAAGCAAAGATGCTTCATTTCTGTAATGTGTACAAACTACAACTCTTTTTTCTGTGTTTGTTTTGGATTATAGGGATATTCTTTCATCTGTAGTTTGGTTCGTAAAATGGAAGAGCGTTCGGATCAGAGATTGGATTATAATTTGTCTACAGATAAACAAGTTATGAGATGGACTTCGATTCTTTTATTTGTTGTTTGGGCGATTGTATAGCCAATAGCAATTAGTAACCATATGGATCATTTAGTGCACTAATATTTGCAGCTCCAGTAGCTGCAATCCACCAGCTTCTTGTGTCATCGTCAAAGAACACACAAATGTTGCACCCAATTTGTCTACAAAATCGAACACCTTCTTTGATCTCACGTCGATTGGGGAGGGGTTCTATAAAGTGGGGAAACCTTTCGAGGCTGACAATGATATGTAACGAGCCAAAATTAATAATATCTATTAGCCGTGGGCTTGAGTTATAATAATGAGCTGGAGTTAAAACAAATAATACTAGAGCTAGTCAGTGATACTGGCCCTAACATAGGGTGGATTCGATTGTAAGATCCCATATTCGTTAGAGAGTCAAACCTAGAAATGAACGGTGAGGCTAGTTAGTGACACTGGCTCTAACATAGGGTGGATTCAATTGTAAGATCCCATATTCTTTAGAGAGTCAAACCCAGAAATGAACGGTGAGATATGTGGAAATATTGTGAAAATATAATTTAGAGAAATAAAATTTTATTAATTTAGCTTTTAAAATATAATTAAAAAGAAAAAAAACAAGATTTATATAGTTAAAGTGTGGGTCCTTGAAATATTTTTAATTTGGGCAGATAAACCCGCCGTGGGGAGGTAGTTCCCTCTAAATCCAGCTCCTGACGAGGGGCGACACGACAGAGAGTATACTGGGAGAGTTGCAAGCCATGGCGCGAAGCCTAATCCCGAGGGCGCAATCGGGAACAAGCCACTCGTTCTTCGTCTTATCTTCCAAATCTAAATTTTCATCGCCAAGATTCCAATTCTCCTTCATGCTACCACGTCTTCGTCTTCTTCCTCTGTCTCGCTGTTTCTGCAGGTATTCTTCTTTGCAAGAACCAATCGACATGTGCAAGTACAGGGAAGCTTTCTCCAAGCGTATGGATATGGCTGGACTCAAACCGCACCACCGTATAGGTCAGGTTTTTGTTCGAGATTTATGCAGGAAGGAAGAGTTGTTTGTAGCTTATTTCTAGCATTTTGTTTGACGAACTGGTGTGGTTATTTCATTTTCCCCTCATGCATTTTGTTTTACTTAAAGTTGAAACAGCACTAGGTTTTCTTTGAAAGTAACCAAGAATTGAAGTGGCAAATAATAATACTGGCTTCCAATTTTAAACTGAAAACCCGAACTTCCGGCATTAGCGTTCATTATCTGATTCAATTTCAGCTCTGGGAGTAAGTGGAGGGCCCGATAGCATGGCTCTTTGTGTTCTTATGGCGGGTTGGAAAATGGATAGCCTGAATGCCACTGGTAAGAGTAGCACGTTTATCGATGGGCTCCTGGCAATAGTCGTGGATCACGGGCTTCGTGCTGAGAGCAGAGACGAGGCAAATGTTGTGCGGAATCGAGTTACTCAAATGGGTACGACAACTCTGCACGTGTACTATTTGTCAACTTTTCTTCATTATGATAAATTAGTTCAATCCAAGTTTCTGATATATGTTCAGTTCGTATATTACTTGTGTAGGCATCAGATGCGAGATTGCGTCTTGTGATTGGTTAGATGGTAAACCAAAGCAGGGCCATTTGCAAGAAGCAGCTCGTGATATGAGGTAGTTTGCCGTTCTTCAAAATATGCTAAATTTCTGTTGTGAAGATTGTTGTTCTCGGCTTTGCTTTTAGTATGAGCTAACTTATACTGATAGCTTGCTGCCATAATGATTCACTAATTTGTGATTTTAATGAATGAATTTGCTTTAAGTTCAGATATCAAATGTTGCAGAAAGTTTGTGTCCAACACAAAATTGGAGTGATACTTGTTGCACATCATGCTGATGACCAGGTTAAATCCTCTTATCAAGCATGCTGCGTGCATTTTCAACTGAAGCTCTTGCCTTATTAGTTGACAAAAAGTGTCCCATTCCCCCAATCTTAGAATTTGCATGTTTCCTATAGCTTGTACCGTAACTTTATTCTTTAGGATTGTTATAAACTGAATTAGTTGGTATGCTGCAAGCTTGTTACAGATGCTAGAAATATAGTGATTGCTGAGACACAATGCAGGCTGAGTTATTCATTCTGAGGTTATCTCGCAGTAGTGGCGTGCTTGGACTTGCTGGCATGCCTTTCACTTCTCAGATTTTCTCCCCGCATCGATATTCCTACAGTGAAGTTTCAAAGAATTATGGCATTCTTCTCGTGAGACCACTAATGGATTTCTCTAAAGATGACTTGTACAAGGTTAAAAGTTCAAATCACATAAAAGTATCTATGAAGAGCACACTTTCATTCATTTGGCTAAGACTATTCATGTTAACATTACTCCGCACTTTGCAGATATGTCAAGGTGCTAATCAAGATTGGGTTGAAGATCCAACAAATCGAAGTTCCTTGTTTGCTCGAAATAGAATTCGGATATCATTAGGAGATATGTCATCATGTGAGTAGCTCGAGAGCTAATATCTATGAGGTGCTTTTTGTTGTCACTATTTATATTATTATTCAAGTAAGGAATGACTTCATTAACACTTGTACTAGAAGGAAAGAAAAAATATTCTCCTAAGCGAGAGCAAAAGGAGTTTTAAAAAAGAAGATTTAGGTTAACTCCATCTAGATGTAAAAAAGTATCACTAGGATTTTCGTTTTTCATTTTTCAACCTATCTAGAAACTGGCATAATCTCTATCCTAGACAATGCCCGAACAACAGTGTCAGCATAATGAGTCCATAAAGACCTTTGTTTTCATAGAAACCGTGGCCCATTAAAAGTCTTGAATATTTAAAGGAGTTTACAAACTGAGATAAACAGCTGAGAGAAAAACCACTGATTTCGTTGGTGCCTTGGCGGGTTTGTTAAGGTTATAATATAATAGTCAAGGATTGTTTTGTTTCCTATAGATGGTTTCCTCAATGATTATTTATGAGATTCATGATTTCATCTCAGCATTTTTTTGGGTTTCAGGTACTCTCAAGTCTGAGCTACATGCCATTATTTCCGCCTGTAGGAAAACACGCTTATTTGTTGATCACGCTTGTTTAAGCCTGGCAAATTTGACTTTGACGATAACAGAGGTGGGTGTGTTCTTTACGTCTGCGTGTATTCTGATCTTACAGTTCAACATTAATTTTTAGGAATTTCATTCTGTTTTCCTTTCAACAGTTCTCTCTCTGTACCCTCCATTTGTTTAATATTATTATGTTTTGATGGATGGGGGTTTGGATGATGCTTCTTGTAGCTGGGATATGCCATTATTAATTTGGAGATTCTCAATCGATTGAAAATTCAAGATATTTGCTTGTCGAAGTTCTTGTCCTTAGTTTTACAGGTAAAATGTTAAATATTTTATTGAGAACCTTCATTTTTATTTTGGAGCAATTGACCAATTAGCATTATTGGTTCATCTAAAATTGTCAGTTCATCTCTCAAAGGCACAGACCTGTTAGAGGTAGCACTGCAAAGCTGGTTTTAGACTACATTCGAACAGTTCCTTGCAGGGTAATACAAATCAATATCTATTTCTAGATATTTGTCCTTGCTGTATTTGTACATGGCTAAATATATTTGAAATTGTTTATTATTAGTGAATTAGGCATAATTTACATGTCATCATGTGCATCTGTCAGAGGCTTGATGGAAAAGGAATGTCATAATGGTGGTTGATTTTACCTGTCGTATGAAAGAACCTCTTTTCCCCCCTTTTTACATATTTGATTTTACTAGTGTTCTTATTCCAATATGCTTGAAATATACCTCGTCATTGCATCTATATCACTTTTTATTTATTTATTTTTTTTAATTTTTGTAATCAAATTTCATGATCTTGTAAATGAATGTTTTTTGGCATACCATCGGGCTTCAGCTTTGTCAAACTCTTGCCTTGTGTACTTTTATGGAGTTAAGAAATCTAAATGTTTCTTGGGATTGTGTGTTGAAGCGAACTATTTGTGTAAAATGATAACTTCATAGCACGAGTACATCTACCAAAGTTTCAGCCTTGTTTGTCGAGGAGAACACTACATGAACTTCGTAGATTTTTAAAATTTAAAGAATTAAAATAGACATCAACCTGAAGGGCCGGCCCAGTAATCAGTCTTTTTCCTTGTGTACTTTTTGGCTACATCAAGTATTCTTATTTAATACCATACTCATGAAGTTCAGTTAATTGAGTATTAAGCATGATCTGTGTAGTTCTATTGCACATTTATTTACAAATGCAAGGGGGTTGGCCTGTTGTATATCATTATGCATCAACAACCTTTTTCTCCAATTTTCATTAATTTTCAAGGGGTACTTTGTTTAATTCTGTTTTTGTAATTAATCGATTTCGTCTATTCCTTGGATTCTTATTCATTATCAAAAACCCATGCAGACCTCACTGACAGCAGCTGGGTGCTACATTTGTCCAGCTCCTGGATCCAAGGGCACCAGGTGCATAGTTTCTTGTTCCGTGGATTGCCCCTTGCCTTCCGCAGTAGAAGTTTTCCATGTCCCTTCTTATAAAGAAGAGAGGCACGATATTTCTGGTGGATTAGAACAAATCATTAATGATGGGAAATCGTATTTAGAACACTTCATTCCTAAAGCTTCAGATGTGCATTTCTTGGATACAACACCTGAATCTGTTCTAGATGAAGCAAAAAGGTTAAACATCCTCGGTGAATCAACCTATAGGATCATTGTATCACTGCAGATGCAAGAAACCAAACTCTTCAAAGCAGAACCAAAAGTCACTCCTGGTTATGGATCGAAGCATGGTTCACACTCTGTAAGTACTTTATCCAGTGGACTGCTTAAGTCGGGGCAGATATGTAACTATATGAACAGGTTCTTTATCACATGGAAAGTAAAGGATGAAAATGAAGATAACTCTATTTCTGATGCGGCTAGTTGCAACACAATTTGCAAGTCCTGTGCGTTAGGCTGTGATATGGAATTAGAGGTGCGGCACATGACCGAATCCGATTGGCTTTATCTATCCAAGTTTTCTGAGTGCACGGTGGAGAATTTTCATGATCAAAGAGACACTTCTGCCAGTTCGAAGGAGCAGACCATGGAGAATGCGAGTAGATGTTTGAAGTATGCCAGCTCGTCGGCTAGAAAAGCATTAGTGCTGTTGAAATTGATTCCAGTTGCTGCAAGAAAAGGCCTTCCTGTACTGGTCAATCAAAAAGGGCTGCTTCTAAGTATTCCAGTACGTATACATTTTACAACTACATGATAAACTGCAAACTACATGTTCAAAGGGATTGGATCCCTCCAATTCAATAGAATTGGAAAAGATCCAGTCCTTGACTTGTGCCTTAGAACAATTTAGACTGCCTAATTCATATATCATCAATTGTTCTGAAAAGTAGAACTAGAGAGAGATTAGAGGAATTGCATAAATTTGAGCGATCATATTAAAGAAGAAACACCATTACCATGTTCCAAGTTCCTAACGTACACATTCTGAACTATATAATTGGTAGTTTTACCAACACATGCATATCTATCATTCTGATATCCTTCCCTTTGTCTGGTGGTTCTTTCAGAGCATCAAGTTCAGCCATTGTCCATGGTTGATGGCATCTGCGGAGTTCAAACCACGGGTACCATTCGGTGGAGGTCAAAGTTCATTCATGTAGTAGATGCCTGTTTCTGCACACAAGCTCGACCATTCCACGAACGAATGGCCAAAGCTTGCATAGCATTCGCATTGAAAAAGGGAAACTGTAACTCATGCGATGCTGTAACTAGTGGTTGAATACTAAGGGCATATTTGATATTGTCTTCTGTTTAACGGTCTTGAATTAAGTGTTCTAATTTTTCAGTTTGTTTTTTAAAATTGAAAATCAGGATATGTAGTAATAATTATGCTCGCTAAACTAACATTTCAAGAATTATAGTTTAACAAATAAGAGCTCAGCAATAAAATTCAATGAAATTTCTCATCCATTTAAAATTGAAAATCCAAATAATTAAGAGCCATCAATAAAATAAGGGGGAAAAAACCCCAAAATTGTATGTACCAAAAAGTTCAAGCATAACATAAAATATTAAAAAAAAAAAGATTTCATTTAAAAGAAAATTACTAAAATGGTCATCCCCATCATTTTTTTTCTTTCAAATTAAATAACAAACAAATAAATAAAAGATTCTTGTGTATAAATGCTACCGTGGCCACCCCTACTTCCTATCATCCATTCGACTCTAATTTAATTTAATTTTTTTGACAGCCTCAAAAAAGCGTCCGGAAATCCGAAAATGATAAAATTTGTGGATAAGAATCTCTAATGGATTTCACAACACAAACTTTGGCCACTAGAAAACAACACTGCCTCGTCTACATGGAGCGGCTGCTCCTGGTGCTTGCCTTTCATGCAACTTCCATCCATGCAAATGCACCACCGTCGTCCGCTCCTCCTTCTGCAGCTGCACATCTGAAGAGGTACATCCTCCTCTTCTTTAGCTCCTTAATTGAACCAATTCAATTATGACCCACTTCCCAGAACCTAGACGGGTGTGTTCTGAATTTACTTCCTGGTGTTTTTGGTCATCAATTTGATTGAACTGGACACAGATTCTCTGTTGGGGGGTTTTGAATTTAACTTTTGAATGCGTGTTTTTAGAAGAATTTGAACTGAACTGGATTTTGATTTTAATTGTCGTTTGGATATAAACAAATCCCATTTGGGATTCGGTTGCTTTGCACTTGGTTCTTGATTTTCTTTGGTGTTTTGTCTGTAGAATTCATATTGGACGTGCTTCTTCTCCAGTCATCTTCACATATTCAGAGGCAGTGAAAGACAATGTTGTAATATGTTGGGATTTGGTGGGTATTGATTTTCTTTGAGGCTAGTTTGACGAGTAGGATCGAGAAGAACTCGGAGAGTCTAATCCAGCAAAAACTTGAGAGTTTTCATGGGTGTTCATAAAGAGGGAACGATAGCAAGCAAAAATCTTTCTCAAGCATCACCAAGAATGGTATTGTGGCAGACACTTGAATTGTTGTGATGTTTTATTGGCTATAAGTATGACTAACTGTCAATGATTGAACAAATTGTTGTGCATTTCATTGTCTTGATCGTATAATCATCATGTTCACTGCCTTAGCATCTGCTTGGTTGGCTATGCATGCTAAATCAGATGCTTCTTTTAGTAAACTTGGTCCTTCCATCTGATTTACACAACAAATTGCTAGATTATCTGAACATTGTGTCTAGAGAACACTTCAGAAAATGCATTTCAAAGGGCTCTCTGGAAATGTACTGAATGGATGTTTTCCTCATATTTCACTCAATAGTGCTCTTTATTAAGCACATCTGTAGTCATCCTTGGAGACTTGGACCTTATGTTTACTATATTATGAACACAGGATCATAGTATCCTTTAGTTTGTTGAAATTTTTACTTATGAACTTTGCAGGAATCATATCTCCACAAGAACCAAGTAAAGTTGGTTTCAACTCCAGTTGATTCGCAAATTCAATCCCATTGTCTTCTCTGTTTGGGTAACAAAAGTTGCCGAATAGTACGTTCAAGAACGAAGCTAATGAACATCTTGGTTGAAAAGGGGAAACCTCAAGAAGCTCAATTCATTTTCGATAGTTTAGTTGAACAAGGACACAGGCCAACTACTGTGACATACACAGCTCTTGTAGCTGCTTTGACTCGGCAGAAGCATTTCAAGGCCATTTCCAGACTTCTTTCGGAAATCGAAAAAAATGGCATTAAACCTGATTCCATACTCTTCAATGCCATAATCAATGCCTTTTCTGAATCTGGCAATTTAGAAGAGGCCATGGAAACTTTTCAGAAAATGAAGGAAAGTGGATGTAAGCCAACAACTAGCACTTTTAATACACTCATCAAAGGCTACGGACTTGCTCATAAACCCGAAGAATCTATGAAGTTATTAGAGTTGATGATGAGGACAACGAATCTGAAACCCAATAACCGGACTTATAATATCCTTGTTGGAGCTTGGTGTAAGAAGAACAATATAAAGGAGGCATGGAATGTAGTGCAGAAGATGATCGCATCTGGAGTTCAACCTGATGTTGTCACATATAATACACTGGCAAAGGCATATGCTCAGGATGGGAAGACTAGCGAGGCAGAAAGTATAATAGAGGAGATGCATCACAACAAGGTAAATCCCAACGAGAGAACGTGTGGAATAATTGTAAGTGGTTATTGCGAACAGGGGAACTTGGTCGAGGCTCTGAGGGTCGTGTATCGAATGAAGGATCTCAGTATACGCCCAAACCTTGTTATTTTCAACTCTCTTATCAAGGGGTTCCTAGATATCGAGGACTCAGATGGAGTTGATGAGGTACAATATTTTTCATCTTTTCATTGTTCATTTTTCGCATCTATTTCGTGTGATTGCCAAATTCCCACCGTGTTGGCAAACAATCTTTCTTCATTATTATTTCTTCTGAAGTGTTGATTGATCACATGGATAATGAATATAAATTTGAGCAGGCATTGACAATGATGGAAGACTTTGGGATAAAACCAGATGTGATAACATTTAGCACCATTATGAATGGTTGGAGCTCAGCTGCACGTATGGACAAATGCCAAGAAATCTTTGATGACATGGTGAAATCTGGCATTGAACCTGACATCCATGCTTTCAGTATTCTTGCAAAAGGGTTTGTCCGTGCTGGCGAGCCTGCTAAGGCCGAGTCCCTGCTGAACTCCATGAGCAAATACGGGGTGAGACCGAATGTCGTGATTTTCACAACTATCATTAGTGGTTGGTGCACTGCAGGTAAAATGGAGAAGGCATGGAGGGCTTTTGAGCGTATGTGTAACATGAATGTCTCCCCCAATTTGAAAACTTTTGAGACCTTAATATGGGGCTATGGAGAAGCAAAACAGCCATGGAGAGCAGAAGACATCCTTCACATCATGGAAGAAAAGGGTGTCGTTCCTCAAGACAGCACTCTCAAGCTCGTTTCTGAAGCTTGGCGCTCAATCGGTATGGATAAAGAAGCCATCTCCGAGCGAATGGAAGGCAATGATACTCCAGAGAAGAGTTCAGATGATCTCTTCCAACCAGGAGTAGTAATCATATCCAATGGAAATGGATCTTCTTATTCCCAAACAAGAAGCAGGACACTGCCAAAAGGAATAGAAGTTCCATCTGGAAGTCCACGGAGCACCTCTACATCGATGCTCGTTTGTCGGGCACGTCGCTTTCGTCCACTGATTGTATGCAGAAACCAGAACCATACCCAGTTTTGGATATGGAGGCACCATACCACTACACCTTGCAGAATGATGTACATCCATTAGTGACGATGAGCAGACGACCAGCTGTTACATGAATCTGATTCGAAAAAGTTGATGAAGAGTGATCATGCTTGCTATCTGAAACTATAAATGGCCAAGCACTACAACTACTTGTTTATTTTTTCTTCGTTGGGATCACTTTGTGTAATTCATATAAATGATGTAAATTCATTGTTGAGGACCAAAACCCAAACTACATAACCATGTAAATTGCTATCCTGATAATATATCTTCCACTTCCTACATTGTTATTCGAATTCTCAAGAGCACAGTGAAATCTGGAGTTGATTTTGTGTATTACCTATTATGAACTCGGGTCAAGAACTTCCAAAAAACCCTTTATTGGGGTGTTAAGATAATGTAGATTTGAATCTTGTAGAGAAATTATTACTCCAAAATCTATTAGAGAAGTGTTTTTTTCTAATAAAAGTTCCAAACTTTCCAATCTTTTTATGGTGTTTAGAAAAATCAATATATTCACATCTAATCCGCTCCGTCTACGAATAAAAACATTCCCAATTGGAACCCCAACAGCCTGAATTTGAAATTCATCACAGAGGCGCAATTCTGCCACAGAGGATGCCATCTCTTCATCTCCTCTCGTCAGTATCTTCTTTTGACAACCCTTCTCTACAACGTGCGCGCCTATCGAAACCCGGTAACAGTTCTAATCCCCCAATTCATTCAAATGCCATTTCCCCAAAATTCGCACATGCCCACTTCGCCAATCGCTCTATTTCCCCTTCTGTAACTCTCAGTCAATTGCGTATTCAATCCCGAAGCAGTGGTTTTCTACCCTTTAAGCCTCCAAACGATGGAGCCCACTGGAAGAGGTGTTACTGTAGTGCTGTTAATGACTCTGACGAGAAAACTAGGTCAGTTTTGGACTCCAGTGGCGGCGGCGATGGAGGTGAAGCCGGCGATGGAAGTGATGATAATGGGAAGGTGGATAAGCAAAAGGGTTCTTCTGGGTTTCTGCCGGAATGGTTGAATTTAACTTCGGACGACGCCAAAACGGTCCTTGCAGCCATTGCAATATCTCTTGCCTTCAGGACGTTTATTGCAGAACCGAGGTACATTCCGTCGCTATCAATGTATCCTACCTTTGATGTTGGGGATCGACTTGTAGCAGAGAAGGTAGAAATCTTGTTCATTGTTCTTAATCGTATTATTCAACTGTTCTTCACGGTTATTAGAAAAAATTATACAGATTGGGATATGATATTCATAGTTAAAATTGCCTGAATCCCAAGTTCTTGGATTCAACTAAGCTTTGAAATAAAGGGATAAGATCTATGATTTCTATTCTGTGTATGAAATTTCTGGTGTTGTGGATCATGATGCTTGTTTCTTTTCAGGTCACATACTATTTCAGAAAGCCTTGTGCTAACGATATCGTGATATTTAAAAGCCCACCAGTGCTTCAGGAAGTAGGATATACAGATGAAGATGTCTTCATTAAAAGAGTTGTTGCTAAAGGAGGTGATACTGTGGAGGTCAGATTTTCTAACGAGACCTTTTTTGTTTGTATCATTATCTGATATGTGTAATGGAGCCATTGATTTAGATCATCAAGAACAGATATCTACCTGTTTTTCAATGATATTGCAGGGTTCAAAAATGTAAATAACCGAATCTATCAGAAGATCTAATTTTCTTGCACAACTTTAGTTAAAAGTTTTATGGTCGTAATCTCCAGCTTTCATTTGTGTTTTCAAGCTCAAGAAACAGCTTCACTCTTCACTTGGAACATTCACTGATTGCAGGTCCGGAAGGGCAAACTTATTGTCAATGGGGTCGAGAGAGACGAAAAGTTTATCCTTGAACCACCATCATACGACATGACTCCGGTTGTAAGTAGTTCTTTCTGTTTTCTGCTTCGGTTTCGCATCTTTCTAAGATTTTCCTACCAAAATTATGATCACACAAGAATTGAGTACAAGCTGTGATCGTTTTTGTTTTTGGTTGAATGAAAGAGAGATTGCTTTTCCTTCACTTTGTGAAATCTATATCAAGCATGGTTAAACATTACATCTCTTTCATTCCTATTTTGATGCAGCAAGTGCCAGAAAACTCGGTGTTTGTGATGGGCGACAATCGCAATAACAGCTATGATTCTCATGTGTGGTAAAGTCTTTCACTCATCACTTCACTAATACTGGGTTTAAGATGACTTTAAAAAGATGTGTATTTAAGTAAAAGACTTATGTTCAAATAAGCAACGATCTTGACAGATTCTACCATTCTAGACTTCTATGTGCTTGTCTTTGAGTTTTTTTTCTTCCTTGTGCTGATAGCTAGCTACTACATATACCAAATTGTTCAGGGGTCCACTGCCAGCCAAAAATATAATAGGAAGATCACTATTCCGCTATTGGCCTCCGAACAGGATTGGTGGAACCGTTATCGAGCCTAGCTGTGCTACTGATAAACAAGAGGGCACTCCTTCCACACCAGAGATTTCCAGCCAACAGACCACAAATTCTCAACCGTAACAGTTTCGGTCATGTTCTTGTAAGTTCAGTTGGTTGTTCTGCAAATGCCTTATAGTTCCCATTCGCTCCCCTGTAATTTTGAAGCTCTTTTTTGTTGAATGAACTGGGCATTTTGTGCAAGGCCTTATTTACTGTTGATCTTGGTTTATGCAAGTTACTAGAGATGACTCTCAGTGTTGAGAGATCTGAACTAGTGACATTGCCATTCTTTGTGAACCCAATTGAACAGTACAAGCTAGTTATGATATAGGAATATGTGCTCTTGAAATTGAAAACTAGATAAATTGCTGCAGTAGATGTGATCAATACCATACAAGGAGGAGGTCGAATGTGCAAACCTTATGCTCCATCATGTCTGCAGATAAGTGAAGGTGCCTCATATGGCTGCTCCTGATATTTTTTATACTGATTCAAACATAATTTTATGGATACAATTCAATTACTATTACAACAAATTCAATCTTGTGTTCGTAATTGTTATAAACTATAATGTTGAATGATCAATCCAAGTATAGTTTATTCGAAACAATTTTGTCTTGTCAGAAACATACAGAACATATCATTTCATTAGGCCAAATATTTGTAGCATCATTACAACTTGAACAAGTTGCGAGAGTCGATGTCCAACAACCATGTGATATGCTTTGGATGCTTCAATCTTACCAGTTACCCCACCCCATTTCCTCTTGAATGGATTCAAACACCAGCTTCATAGGAAGATTTCCATTTTTATCCAAGGCTTCAAAGGCGGGCTCCAGCCCCATACAAAGGCAGGCAACTTGTTCCCTTGAAGGTTGTTTATAGTATTTCTTGCGTTGCAAAACAAGTAAACATCCCAACATTTGGATCAATTCCGAACTCTGATTTTCGTTTACTTAGATCAGTTTTCGCATTTTGATTTCTTGACGCATTTTCTGAAGTATCCTTCCAAAGTTTGAAATTAGGGAATCGAATCTTACAGAAATATGGGGGTGCATAAAACTGACTGGGGAGGAGCTGACATGAATGCCAAAGAAAGTTTTAATCCTTAAATGAAAACCAAAAGACTACAAACATCGAAATACTAAACTGGCAGACGATTAACTATATACGCAAATATTATTTTAATCAACTATAACAAAACAGATCAATATTGCAACAATATTATATAGTTTCGGAGGCTATTACATAGAGGAGATAGAAACACAACCTTCACTCTGATCTCTGCATTGAAATGCCTGCTAGCACCCCCGATAGATCAACCAATAACAAACGAAAGCAGAGGCATCAGAATCTGGCAAATCCTAGTTAAGCCTTGTTAGCGGTATAGATCATCGTAGTCCACTTCTTCAATCACATTAGACTCTGGCCACCGCTTGTAGTTGCATTTCAAGCTTCCTTTCAGCAAGGGGCGAGCGGAACGTGACGGAAAACATACGATGAAGGAGAATGGCACGAATGGGAAGGATGCGAAGAGATCTCCATAGGGAAATTCAAGGCGAGAGTGGCGTGATTCGAAGATGAGTCGGCATCGTCAGAATATACCGTGGGGCTCGGTACGAAGAATAGTGGCAACTATGGTATTTTAAACAAGACACCTAAAGGCACAAAAGGCAGTAGAGGTATTCTTAAACACGATTGTTAATACAGTACGAATACCGAAATCTTCATCATAGAAGTTTTTCGAAGAAAATCAGTCGGTTTTGAAAGTACGGAATCAAAAAAACATTTTATATTCGTACTCAAAAACAAATAACAAATAAAAGTTATAGCATGGATGGCCTCATAGAAAAGATTAGAGTGTCGACAGGCATGAATTCAGACATATGCTTGTCAATAAATACATTTAATCACCGGCCAACTGAAACGAAAGAACCTGTAAATTTTCGTATAAAAGACCAATACAGTTTGAAACAAACACAGCGTAAAAAGTTATAAAAAAAAAAGGGACTCAGATTTAAGGATGGTCGTCAAGGCCATTTCACATAGCCAGTTACGACGAACGAGACCTTAAACATAACAATCATCACCGTCCCCCTCGGTTTCAAAATAAATCGAATTTAATTGGAAAATAAACGATAAATGGAAGAAACAGCAAAAACCATAAATCTAATAGTCCTTAATTTATAAATTTCGCATTAGAATTTCTTGTTGCATTTTCTGTAGTGTTGTTCCAAGGATAACAGAATATGATTATTATTAAAACCGTTTGGTAAATCATGCGCCTCGTTCTCTTCTCTCCCAACACCTCGAATGTGCATTCTTTAAACCAAATCGTGATTAATATGAATTGTGTAAGCAGGCGTCAAATAATAAAATTTTACTAATCAAGCTAAGCGAATATCCAATTGTAAAGCAATATTAGAAATTCCAGATTTAAGAGTGAGTTCATAATATACGTGACACCTCTCAAATAAGTTAATGAAAAATTTTCACAATTTCATGATAAAAAAAAAATCCACATTATATTCCTAAAGGAGTCGTAGAATAACAAATTAAGAGAAAAGCATGTCAACACCGTAAACTATCTTCATGTCCTCTAATCCACAGCATCAGACGATATTTGAGCAGATTTCTCGTTTGGAATGCCCAAAAAACAAGGGTGTAAAGACAATCAAAACAGGCATTTAAGCAGTAACCTAAAGAAATGCATTAAAAAGTGAAGGCAAGAAATCTGATTAAAAATAAACCAACAAAAACTGAAGGCAATAACGCAGAATCAGATTAAAACAAAATCAAAATAAACCAATTGAAATATATTCAATTAATACTTCAGCTATGATAGTTCAAAAATAGGGTCATCAGATAGGAGCGAAAGACTAAAAAGATGGATAATCACAATACAATCATTTGAACTATGCATATAATCATCATATGACCCACAGTCTTTAAAGACTTTAAATCAAAGACTTGGTACTATATTACCGAAAATAAACATGCGAACAAAACATCGAAAGTTATACACCTAAGGCTCAGAAGGAAGGCAGTAGATGTAATTGTAATCACGCAAGATCATGCAGTACGAATACAATATCCTTCATCATAGACGGTTGCAGTATTCAAGCTTTTCAAAGAAAAACCGTCGTTTTGAAAAGCCAGAATAAACAAACATTTTGTTTTCAAAAACTCAAGAACAATTAACAACCAAAAGGATCTATCGCGAATGGCCTCATAGAGAAGATTAGAGATGTCAACAGGCATGAATTCAGACATATGCTTGTCAATAAAAATATTTAATCATCGGCCAACTGAAATCGAAGAAACCGTCAATTACCGTACGAAAGACCAAAACCGTATGAATTAAACACAAGAGAGCGTAAAGAAATAATAAAACAAAGGGACTCAGAATATGGGTGGTGATATATCAGGATGGTCGTCAAGGCCATTTCACACAGCCAGTTACGACGAACGAGACCTTAAACATGACAATCGTCACCGTCCCCCTCGGTTTCGAAAGAAATCTAGTGAAATTGGAAAAGAACAGATCAAAATGAAAGAAACAGAATGAAGAAACCCTAACTTAGGATCACAGTTAATAGCGGGAAGACGATTTAGAGATGGAGGCAGAATAGGTCCTCTTATAGGAAGGAGGAAGGAGCCTCGCGGCTAGGGTTTTACTTGATTTGAGTGAGTTGTACTAACCTACGTGAGGGTGCATTGTAACATGAGAAGTCACCCGCATCCTGAAATCTCTATTAGCCGTTGGATGTAAATGAACGGAGAGATTCGATTTAAATAATTGACCTATAAATGACTAGATATATTCATAAATTAAAGTGACGTCGATATTAAGATTTACTCTTTCTAAAAAAATACGTGAAAATTTAAGAATAAATTATGCTTCCAATATCACGAATAAATTTCATTTTAACATTTAAAAAACGTCAATTGGAATATATATATATATATATATTCACTATTTATCACGATTTTGTCAAAGTTTGAATTATTTATGAAGCTATATCATATGATTTTTAAAATTATAATAGCTAAATTTTAACTTTTTCTAAATTACAAAAATAATAAATAAATTTAAATTTTTTTTAATAATATATGCATTGTTTAACGTTCCTTCCTGGTTTCAAATTACTTCAAATAATCAGTTTTGAACTATAACATGAACTGTTTTCAAATTACTTCATTTTTTAGCTTATTTATTTACTTATTTTTTTTTAATCTTGAATTGCTTGGTCTCATAATGCACGCATTCCCTCGTAAAGATGTTCGCCATCTGTTCACAGTTTGAAAATAACCTAGTTATCTTCTCCTTTTCAACATCTAATTATCTCTTAAAACATACAAGAGTCAATTGGGCTAGCTAGCTCTTCATGGTTCAGTAGAAGCATAGAAATGTTGCTGCAAAATATGTACAGGCTCAAATATACATCTGATGCAATAGAATAACGTGACTCATCAAGAAGAAAATATCCATTCTCGGTTGAATTAGAATGAAGTTAAAAATTCTAATGCACACCCATTTGTATCCTGGATCAACAAGTATTCTCACTCCCATCCAACAAATGATTGACATCAAATTCAACAACCAGAATTAAATTTATATTATAAGTTACGGTTTACCGTCTAAGGGTATTGATGACCAGGAGCCAGAGCAACTACTCCGACAGCTACATTGGTACACCAAGATCGTATATGGATTAGCGGCCTGCAATGGCACAATCTTCAGTCTCAGCTTCTAGTCATTCTTCTACTGTCAATTGGTTGAATATGTGGATTCAGTATGGATAGAATCTGCGGCATTGACATGCCTCCAGACACGACGATTTCTACAATAAAAAGAATAGAGTAAGGAATGGAGGGATTTTGGTCCATGTGTAATTCAAGAAAAACTGTCCACTGATTCTGGACGGAAAGACAAAAAGAAAAACTCACCGATTCCTTCCCGAACTGATAAATTTGGTCTAATCACATCCTGAGAGTTGACTAGGAAAACATCACCAATGTAAAGATGATTGGTGGGAACATATACACAACACAGCTCCTCCTCTCCAGAATAATTCTGCACTCAGAGGGAACAAATCGGTTGATCATAATATCAAGCCTTGCAGCAATTGTGCATTACAAGTTATGAAAAACATGTAATGATATTCACGAGAACCATAAAAACACAATAAACACAATAAACCCTTATAACAATACAAACCTAAGAAGAAGATATGAAAAACATGACACAACAATATGATAGCAATACATCATCTTCTACAAAATTAGTGAATGAGGACATGAATCATTGAATAAAACATATTTGTATACCTAACAACGTCAATGATATTCACGCTCAAGATGAGCAATGGGCATGCATGTAATGTAAGGGTATTATTGGTTGAAGTTGCCTCCTCCTATAAACCAAGTTTGCAATGACACTTGCATTTAAAACAACGTATAAGAAGAGATAACACAACATGGATTCTATGCAAAGTAGAAAAATCAGCTACATATATGTAATGCTACAATGTCATGTAACAAATGTTTGTGAAGGTTCTAAAACCAGCTAAATATAAATCCAATCAGTCATGTATATAATAAATCTCAAAATTTATTGTATTTGCAATCATGTTCTATAAAAGGACCTGAGTTTTCTACTTCAAATAACATCAATACCGTTTTTATCGTGTTCACTGTTCACATACCAGAACATGGTTATGTGGTCTTTGAGATAAAATATGTGTGCATGAATTACCCAAAGTAATACCTAAATGCTTCCAAGGAAGAATATTACTAAAAAAGTTGAAGCACAAAATGGCATACCTGGAGGGTGACAGTTGAAGTAATGAACCCAAATGCATATTCACCAATACGGGGGTGCCTAATGATGGCAACTTCCTTGAAGGCTTTGGTATTTTGATCTAACAGGTAGTGACAAGAATATAGATGGTTCATAAATAAACTTGACCGTGTTTAAATATACTTAAAAAAGCTGTACCTGGTGAAATAGCAGAACTAATCTGCTTAGAAGCATTGTAAATATGACGAACAAATGGCATGCGCTTTATAAACCACTCTCCGAGAGCCAAAATAGAAGCACCCAACCATGATGACATGAACACCCCAACAAGGAAGATGAACGAAACAGATGTTGCAAATCCAAGACCTAATCAAGAAACAAGAATAAGCTTATGATAAGAAAAAAAAAATGAAATATACAATTTAATAGGTTTCTCATACTGAACAGACATCAATCATTTGGCAAGATGAGCACTAATATTTATGTACAATTTTTCAATACTACCTAGTTAACATATGAGTAAGCAAAGAAAACAGAGATTGGTGGAAAAAATAACAATACTCACTCGTGTCGATAGTAGATCAAATACATATATAAAAAAAATAGCACATGGATTGAATGGGTTCGGAAAAAATGTTGAAGTGATAAGGATTACTTACCAAAGATATCAATTCCAAGTTGAGCATAGATCGGAGAAAAGAATCCATCCACAAAGTGTATAAACCACCATGTTATATAGAAAGTTATTGCAATTGGAAATAGAATAACGCTGCAAAACAGCCAGATCACAACATGTTTAGAAATTAAAACATCGTAATTACCTAGCACAATGACAAAAAACTGCAATTTGAATCCTGATCGAAAACAACTAAATGCTGTTTACACTTTAAGACCTATCTTCCTGCCGAATATATTTTCTGAGTAAAGGAAAAATCTCAATTCCATTTATAAAAATAAAAAAAATAAAAAAGCAAATTTTTTAAGTGCAGTTTTCAAACAGCAGCCTGGAAGTTCAATTTTAGTAACGATGGCTACAACGTATATGCAAAAAATTCTACCTAAATCAACTGTGGCTTATATGCTATTCTTTACTTGGCACCAAAATCATAAACTAAACTAAAATACAGAGACAAGAATAAAGATCAAACCATCCGGTCATGAACTTTTTTGAGGCCCAGCTCCTAAAGACTCTGTAAAATGTCTGCACAGTAAATAAAATAGTTAATTGAACCCACAATTGGCGACAGAAAATAAACACTGATTGATGTTCTGAATAACAAATAACTGGCTATTCCAATTTTATATGATGGGAAAGCCAAAAAGGGAAAAAAAGAAACCAACATTCTTCATCAGATATTGAAGGTAGTGAGGTACATATACATAGCCATTCCAACTATATTATTTACTTCACGGCAAGAATTCAGAACATAAACTAAACACTCAAAAGATGCGACTTTTTAATATCCGTACTAAAGTAAGTAACACTCCATCTGCAACTTTTTAAAAAGGATAGCCGATTGATCAAACTCTTTGAGAAGGGTGATATGGGTAGTATTAGGATAGGACTAGGAGTATGATTAGGGTATTAGAAGGGTATATTAGTACTTAGTTGAAGAAGTTTTTATGGAAATTTGTTATAGATAGAGGGAGTGGGAAAGGAGGAAGATATGCATTGGTTTAGTTTACTCAAAGCTTGGGCAAGAGTGCTCAAGAGATGAAGGGTCCAAGTACCTCAGGGTACTTGGATTGTCTTATGGTCATTTATCTTTCATATTTCATACTATTTCGATTGTTTGGGTTCCAACAGAGTGCTTTTTTAAAACTCAAGCAAGAGAGACCACAAGGCCTCTGAAATATACATATGAGACTGAGATACAACATGGAGACAACCAAAGGATGCCAAAAGGATGAAAGAAAAGGCCACCAATTGCTATAATGGCAATGGATGGAACGATCAACATCTTCGTTACTTCGATTTCAGGGGTCACACCGACCAGGAGAGCCGAATGGAGATTTTCTTTGGACCATCTAACGGGTATAAGTGCATTCAACTGCCCAGCTACAGTTTCATCCATCGTCTAATCTCATAAGTAACTCCGTCGTTGAGAGGATGTCAATTGCGGGCATCACCTCATGATCCAATAGGCAATCCGCCAGGAAACAACTAGTATGAGAATCAACAGAGATATAGGAGAGGAAGAAGAAGAAGAGAAAAATGATTGCAAGTGATTGAACTACTTAGCAAGAAGCCAGACCGATCCTAAATACACTGCTACACAGATATTTCAATAGAACAATAAGCAATATCACTAAGTAGCTTCCAACGATTTGGTGGTAAAAACTCAAGCGTAGTAAATTGAAACAAAGTCAACAATACCTCCCGGCCAGTCTGCGGCGACGACGCTGAAGAGGAAGAGGGCTTGCAAGAGTCATCGTCATTTGGCGAGCCGGCGGCCGGAATTAGAAGCTCTAGATCCCGCTCTCTGCCTCTGCTGACCATCACAATCGCCCCTTTGTCGTCAGCCATCACCGGTAGCCTCTATTGAAAAGCCCAGCCCCAGCGCTGTCGCAGCTTAAAAACCTTCGCCCTGAAGACCGGAGACTGGTAGCAAGGCAACCCTTTGAAAGTCAGAGATTGAATTAAAATAGAAGGTACTTTCAGAAGACAAAACACTTCCAAAGATCCCTCCTCCCTCCATGTTCTTTGACTATTATATTATAATCACTTTATTCCTTTTTTTTAATTCCAATAAATTTAATCTAGCTTGAAATACATTTCTAATTTTAATTTATACTGAGTTCTTGTAACGCCCTAGAATCTACCACTAGCAGATATTTGTCCTCTTTGGACTTTCTCTTTGGGGCCTAGTGTCACGGTTATGCTCGTCCAAGGCGTGTTGCCCATGGCTACATGCCCATGACAAGCCCAACCCTCTATGTCTTTTCATATTCTAGTGTTTTACTTTTATATTTATAGGGAGTATGAGGTTTCAGAAATATCATGTCTAGGCTTATCATACCTGAAATGCCTCAGAATGTATTAGAGAGAATACGACTAGTTGTCAACTTCTCCCTACCCAAAATTATATACGGTAAGTCGTTGTTATTTCTCTCTTGCTTGCTTATATAACGTCTCTTTCAAAAATCTCTCTCTGCCCTCGCTTTCTAAAACCTTCTCTTAAAACCGAGGCCAGAGGCTCGAGCATACGTCGCTTGGCCGTAGGCGACGCAAGAACGAATTGGCTTAGCTCACTTGTCGTTGGACAGTGAGTGCCGCACAATCGCAAGTCCGCTACCATTAAAAGTGTGATCGTGACACCCACCGTCCTCGCTGGCACTCTTTCCTTCCTCCAATTGATGTGGGACCGCCCCCAAATCCACCCCTTTTGGGCCCAGCGTCCTTACTAGCACACCACCTCGTGTCTACCTCCCCTTCGGGGAACAGCGAGAAGGCTGACACATTGTCCGGTGTCTGGCTCTGATACCATTTGTAACGACCCAGATCCTCGTGACTATCCCCCTTCGGGGAACAGCGAGAAGGTTGGCATATCGTCCGATGTCTGGCTCTGATACCATTTGTAACACCCTAGATCCACCGCTAGCAGTATTATCCTATTTGGGCTTTCCCTTTCGGGTTTCCCCTCAAGGCTTTAAAACGCGTATGATAGGGAAAGGTTTCCACACCGGTGATTTGTTCTCCTCCCCAACCAACGTAGACATCACAGTTCTATAATGGCAGCAATGGCCAATTGCATTCGCTAATCATCGTAGGCAACCACTCTAACAAACAAGTGCGGCAGGTGCTTCGGACAATAACACTTAAGCGATAGCATTCTAGAAACTTCTTAAACGACGGCAGTCAATGACTTCCTTGGACGATAATAATTAGTAGTTGATGAACCCTAATATTGCCGATACAAATTTGAATGCAAGATAAATGTCCAGATAAATCAAATAAATCTGGGTACAAAAACACTAAATAATTTGAAATTTAATTTAAACGGGTCCTTCACCAGCCCATGTAAAAGTAGGTTTGGGGTTTCCCATTGGGGTATTATCGATGGGCTTTAAAATGGGTCGATTGTCACAGTCCGATTAACCGCCAATTACACAAGCGCCACGCAAGGCCGGCTTGAGGCGTGACCGTGAGCCGCCCCGTGCTTCAATTATTCAAGTTAGCGCTATTTAAGAAATGGACAAGCTCTTGAATATTCTCCAAGACAACCGTTTGGATTATAGTTCCCATTAGGTCCCAAATTTGAAAGAATGTTATTAAAAAAAATATAAAAAGGTTGGAGGTATTCCATACGCAAAAGAACAGTGAGGTTGGACAAGTCATTGGAAGTGGAAGCGGTGAGATAAAAGGGAGAAAGAAAAAGAGGTTCGTGTTACTATATATATACGCTAGTATGTATAATAAATTCCATTCTAATCCTCTCTTTTTTGCCTCTTCCTGTGTCGTTCTGATGATATAGAAGATCATGTTGGAAGGGAAAGCCACCGTCAAACAAACCGACATGTCGGAGAAGATGCAGATTCACGCCAAGGCCTCTGCATCTCACGCCCTCGATCTCTTCGACGTCTCCGATTGCCTCTCGCTTGCTGCGCATATCAAGAAGGTATAATTTCCTTTCATTTTTAATTTTAATTTTAATTTGGTATGATATTATCAAAATTAAATTAATTAGGAATTTGATCGGAGCTACGGGAGTGGGTGGCAATGTGTGGTGGGTTCCAATTTCGGCTGCTTCTTCACTCATTCAAAGGGGACCTTCATCTATTTTTCCCTTGAAACTCTCAATTTTCTCATCTTTAAAGCTGCTTCCAACTAATTATTTCCTAAATTACCATTTCACAGCACTACAAATGCTTTCATCTTCAGGGGCACCCTCGTCCTTTCTCCTCCTCCTCTCTCTAAATTACATGGAACCAACCATGTATGTGTATCAATTATGTTTCGCCATTCACTTTCTTTCTTCAGACAAATCTCCTTCTACGTGTAATATGTTTCACGAGTTGTTATGATTTTCCTTTAAAAAAAAAAAAAAAAAAAATTAAACTTATAAATAATATCTTTAATTCTTTATTTTATTATATATTGGACTTCAGATTTTTATTATTATTATTTTAAAACTTCGAAACGGCGTCGTTTTAGGAAGCTATTCTACAATTTGACGACGTCGTGTAATCAAGTTGGAAAAGGTCCTCACGAGCTCAGAGTCATCCAAATTGATAACGTTTTGATTTACAAAATAATAATAAATAAATAAATTTTTATATAATAATAAGGAAAATTACAAATTACTAAAAATTTTAGTCATTCTAAATATTATAATTAATCTCTATAACATTTTTTTTCTTGAAAAAAGACCAAATTTATAATTTAATTATGTATTTTAATAAATATAATTTATTTGGTTAAAATATAATAATAATAAAAAATTGGAAATTGGAATTAGTCATAGTTTTTTAATTTACATCTTCCGTATAATTGAGTTTGAAAGAGAAAGAAAAGAGCACTTGTTCTTATTGCTTGTCTACAACGACGACAAAGGTCCGCCGTCTCCAACGCGTTGGATTGAAAATTAGGATTCCTGTTTCTGCCAGACGTCGCATCGTTGGGTCACTTTCGGTATGTAAACCTTTTGTATTCTTTCAATCTCAAAATGAATGATTTCAATCAATTGCCATTATTGAATCTTCAAATTTCTTTTCCAAAAAGCATCTCTAGAAATGATGATAAATGCAAGCTAAACGACCAATTTGCTGATCGCCTTCCCCATATGCTTACAAACATTCTCCATCGCCACCTGATTCAGACTACTCGCCAAATACATTCCAAGAAATCCCCATCTCACTACTACGCCAAATTTTAGAAGATGAAAGGGATTTTGAGTATCAGTAATTGACGTCTTTTTGTATATACAAATCAGAAATTAAGCACAGATGATACAGTTTTCTGATGTCATTTGAAGAACTCGTCAATAAGTTCATTCAATATCAGCTTCTCTGTGTCATTTACAATCTCTTCACTTTCACTTCTGGAAAATCCATTCTTCCAACCAAAATCCCATGTTCCGTTCATCACCTTTTTGCAGTATAGATCTCTCTCTAACACTGTTGCTAGAGTATCTACATGAAGATTCTTGTGGTAACTCGTTAGCGTGTCGATGTCGTTGCACACTTCCTCGACCAGTTTTTCTATGGAAATTTGTGTCTTTGTATTGCTACTATATCCTAGTAATAGAGAATTGGCTACTTGGCTTTTACGTTCAATGAGTTCGATTGCACAATCTATGAATGGCTTTGGATTGGTGGTGTCGGGATCGTTGCAGCGAGATGCTGCTTGCAACATTGTTCTACCATTTAGATTGAGATCAAAAAGCTCCCCTGCATGATATAGTAATGAGGAACTTCTTAAAAGCAATGCTTTCAGATTAGTTCCTTGATCACTGCTTTCGATCTCTTTTTCGGTATGACTGTTGGGGTTGATAACTTCTGTTATACTTGTGTCGATCTCGAGTTCGGGGCTCAATGGCGAGAGAGAGTTCAGGCTCTCTTTGCAGCATTCTACAAGATTTAGGAGAAAACTAAGTACAAATCATAAACATTTAGAGAATGCAGAAGTACTTGTTCTACTTGGAAGGCTAAGTTATTCTATCTCACTTAGAATCTCTCTTGGATGGGATATATTAGACAATGCACAAGTACTTGTTCTATGCTAATGATCAATAACTGTAGATATTGCAACTAATCTTGTTTGTGAACTGTGAAGGACAACTTACCTATAATTTTGGTATCACATTCTTCAGCTTCGCTCTCCATAGTAATTAAATCCATAAGGGTAACTTTGATTTGGTTTGTTGGAAGGTCAGCACTTTCATTTGTATCAGAACTCTCATCATCTTTCTTGGCTTCAACTCTGTGGGTCTGAAAGATAAACACTGCATCAGTCTCTCTTTACAAGGCAAGAATGATGGATACTGATGAAGAAAATGAGTTTCATAAACCAAAAAGAACTTACAAGTGAATTAACTTCTGAACAAGCAAGCACTGCTTCCTCCTTTTTCTGACAGTTATGATCATTAGATATTGCTCTCACTGCTCGTCCCGACATAGAATCTGGAATCGAGCCACGTTGTTTATGAGTTTTATTCTTCCTTGGATTAGTGGAGGTTGCTTCTTCTTGATGCTGTGGTCTTGATACTACTTTTTCTTCTGCAAATTCTTTTTCTACCAGTTTTCTGGTTGATGTAAGATTGTTCTTGTCACTTGGCTCCTTCTCATGAGGCATATCATGCATTGGACTAGATGTTTCCAACTTCTCTTCAGCCTTCTTCTTTGCTTCAACAACACATGTTCTTAATTTACTGGGCATTATTCCTTCTTGAGTAATCGGTTTGAGTGAAATCCCTTCTGCCTCTTGCTTTCTTTGCAATTTATCTGAACTCAAGATTCCTTCATGGAAATCTGCAGAATCGTCGAATGGCCGGAGTTCTTTCTTTTTCGATCTTCTTAGCATAGGTTTTTGGTTGAAAGCTTCCTCTTTTAGAGGGGCATGTGTTTGGTGTTCCTCCAATTCATTAGGAGGAAGAGGCTTGGGTTTTATCAACACAACTGGCGGTGCGTCTTTCAACCTTTGTTTCGAACCATTATTATAGGAATGAGGATAATGAAGCTTAAGCTCATTATCAGAATTATTCTCTGTAGGCCTGTTGAAGGGCATTTTTTCAAGTATTTCTCTCAAGGTTCTCTTTTCAGGATCCTCCTTGTTGATGACAGATTTAGACTTCGGCGATGTTTTGTATCCAAAGATCTTATCGAATTCGAATTCTTTCTTTGGAGTTGTTTGCACTGATCTTGATGAAATTTCTTCAAGCCCCATAAGCTTAGCAATCAGGTTATTACGTTTCAAATTCTTCTGTGTAAGTGTTGAAACATGACAACATTTGACTCCATCATTAACCATTGAGGATTGGCTGGAGCTAGTCGACGGAATTTCCGATCCCGAGTCCGAACTCATATCTCGAAAACAAGACTTTCCACTAATCTTAACTTCATTTGTCACATCTCGCTTCACTAGGCTGTCTCTGATCACCTTCTTAACCTCATCAACACCATGTCTGGAAGAACCATGTCTGGAAGAACCATGTCTGGAAGAACCATGTCTAGAAAGCTTAGATTTTTGAACATCAACTGGAGAGCTTTCATCTTCAAGATGACAAGAAAAACTTCTTTGATACTTCATCTTTAACCGAACCAACTTGTTGGAAGCTTCTTGCAACCTGGCCAGAATAATCAGCGATTCTCTTAAACTTGAAGTTCCTTCCAACATATCCTTAGAAATCTCCTTGGATTTACTGTCAGATCTCACCCCCTTAGAAGAGAGGATCTCCATGAATGGAAGAGAGGATCGGCCATGAATTCTCTCTCTCATCTCTTTCGAGATCACCTCCTCTTGCTCTCCCTGAGATATCAAAACTCTTTTTTGATTTCTACTTGTCTTATGAGTCGTAATCTTTTCTTCCAGTTTCTGAGAGTTCACTTTGGATATCTTGATTATATTGCAATCAACCACTCCTTTTGGATCATCACAAGTGATAAATGATCTGTAAACCACTGATTTTGCACCGTCCAGAGGCATTTTCAAACTCCCCTCAGCCCCAGATCATTTCCCTTATAAGACGAAGAATCCTTCTACAATCTAATGCTCGGACGGCTGTGTTTCAAAGCAAAACAATTCATCAGATGAGCCAAAGCAAACAAACAACGTGAGGGGAATGTTGAAATTTTCAAACTCAACAACTTGATCAATCAGATTTTGACAGTCCATATAAAAAAGAAACTCATCCAAATACACAGCTACCTTCCTTGATCTTCCTCTAAAGCTTCTCGAACAACTCAAACCTATTCTACAACACTATTTCCCATCTCTTGTAAACCATAACCAAAGGAGCAAAATTGACAGAGAAAAGAGTCGAAAACAGAAAAAACTTACCAAACCCAGAAGAGAAAGAGGCGAAGAAGGAGGGCCAAGACAGGCATCAGAGAGAAAAGACACAAAATTTGCAGAGAATTGCCAGTCCCATGTGAAAGTTACAGAGTACTAAACGAAAGGGAAACGGAGCAGTCGGTGCATTGACTTCGTGGCAGCTTAAGAGTAAGGTTCAAAGCAGAGCCAAAAAGATCGAAAGGAGAGAGAGAGAGAGAGTCTAAGATTTGGAGCTCATATTTAATTTCAATCAAATGGGTTTTTTTTTCTTTTTGTACAGAACAGCAAAATCGTTGAAAGATCATAGTTGTCATAAATGGGACACACTTGGTCTCTGCAGAGTGCCAAAACATCAACGGAGCAGCTCAGTTTTAAAAAGAACAAAATCATGGAAGAGGAAGGCCAAATCCAATGGCAGGCCACGAAAGCTACACTTACATTTCATGGAGCTGTGATTTTGAAAGGCTTGAACTTTGAAACAGTGTATGAAACAGGACAAAACAAGTGAGATGTGGTATGAATCGAACTCTCTCTAAACTGGATGTATAATTTAATGGGATGCTTCAAAAACATGTTTCCTGATATGAACCCAGAAGACAGAAATTTAAATGCAGCGACAGAGATGAGTTGTAATGTAATATTGCTTGCTATTTCAATTACTTTACTCTCACTTATAAAAATGTAAATGTGGTAACAGAATAGTTTCTTCAAAGCTTATTATTTATTACTAAATAAATAATAAAGGTGATGCCTTTCCCAAATAATTCTTCTGGGCGATTCATTGGATTTCTACAAACAGGCCATGATTCGGATCGTTTATAGTTATTTAATGTGGGATTGTTTTCCTTTCTTTAATGAACTAATACGGCCGTGGTCTTTTATTATTGTTTATGGAAAAAGACAGGAGCCTTCCAATTCTCATTCGTCGTTATAAAAAAAGAAAAAGAAAAATATTTAATATTTTATCAAATGTTTAATAGTTTCATAGAATAAAAGTGTTCTATAAATTTTTAAAATTTTTACCATAGTT